TATTTTATTGCATTTCTCAACTGGCATGTTATATCAGAATTACTAATAATGTTTTTGTCGTTCTAGAATATGAAATGCCTGCTGACCGCAGTTTATCTATGCATTTACACAGAACTATACTCAAACTGCGATCGCTCGCGGAGATAATACATTAATTTCCATAGAGATGTTTATTAGTGAAATAATGATTATATAGTAAATGTTAATACAATTTAGGGGTGTTTTAAACAAGTGAATCTTGTTCAAAGTTACATGCGGTGGCCGTGCTGGAGCATTTCCTGAGCATCAACCCGGTGAGTGAACAGCAATATGAAAGCGGCTTCACGAGACTAACGATGAGCAAATATACAACAGAGAGAGAAGTAAATTTAGCGTTTTTATTTCCAACATGCACTCATTCATGGCTGTATATTATTTAATTCATGCAAAGTTATGTCTTTATTGGGAGAGGACTTGACGGATTATTTTACGTGACTCCGTGAGTTTGTCTCTATTTTTTGGAGCCAAGATGCATAAACTGCATATCAGGCATTTATGTAATACATCTAATTTGTGCATTGATGGCTGTTATGTTAAATAAAGTTGACTAACTACTAGGGCTGCACGATATATCGAAATTATCGAAATATCGCAAATGTAAATATCGCAATATGCATATCGCAAGGGCGTGCGATATCTGAATAATTTTAATAATAGGCTACTTAAATTGAAATGTTGCAAAAGGTCAAACTTTTAGTTCGACGCATATAGCAGAGAATCGCTTGACGTTAAAAAGAGTTAAGTGCAATAAGTTGCAGAAAACAACTCTTTGACGTCTCGTCTTGCTGTCTGACAGACTCACACCTGAAGCGCACACACACACACACACACAGAGACATGTTTCAGACAGCGAGCGAACACAGAGTTGATTAGTCTTTCGCACCTTATGTTTGAACAGACACATACACACAGAATTATGTCAATAGTATCCGTCTCGACGATCATTCTCGTAAACGTAGTCGGTTATGTTTTAAATTAATGTAAACAGCTGAGAAAGAAATCGGCTGTGTATCATTATACTGGAAGGGACAGCAGCCTATAAATACGTGCTGATGAATATGTCACTAATGTTAATCAAACAACAAAATAGCTTTAACAAAGATTAATCTAAATTTAATTCATACAGTGAACACTATGCAGTGTTATTTTACACTTAATTATAAAATTTCTGTATCTGAATACTACTGTTTATTTTATCTATGCTTGTAAATTGTGTATTTCTTTTTCTTTCTTTTTTTTACTGACTGTTCACTTGCCTTTAATCATGTTTGAACTTTCTCAGACTATAGTTTTTGCTGTGGTATATGAAGAAGTACTTAAAGTGTGTGGAAAGCAAAGTTACAATGATATAAAATGAGTGCCATTCTTTTTTTTTTTTGTATGTTCACACTGAAATTACATTTTCTGATTTGTGACATTACTTTTTATGTAATGCTAAAACACTGCTGGTCACTTTCAGAAGTTGTAGTGATTCTTTCTTTTCCAAGAAAGTAAAAATAAATTGCTTATATAATTTTCATTTTTAAATATTTTAAAATATAATTGAAATTGATTTTACACACTTTAAGCAATATCGTATCGCATATCGAATATCGCATTTTTTAACAAGGTATCTCATATCGCATTTTTCTTCAATATCGCACAGCCCTACTAACTACAGTAAATCAAGTACCTGTGCACGCCGTTGTTGTTGTCTCCTCTCCCCTCAGACGCCGTGGTGCAATGGTGATCCTGCGCGCAATTCTGCACGTTTATCGGTGAATCTTATATTACAAAACCGATATCCGATTATTGTAAAATGCTCAAATATCGGGAAAAATATCGGGAAATCGATATATTGGTCGATCTCTAAATTTTAGCTGTATTATTTGTGTCCCCTTCAAAAATTGCTCTTTAGAAATTTTATGTTTATTGCCCCCCCCCAACTGTTAGAGGATATTTACGCCCCTGGTTCACAGATAGCACTTTGTTTTCATTTTCATAATTTTTCTAACTTGACAGCCCCTGGTCACTGTGAGTTTTCTGCATGAAAAAGAGCAGCCTGAACATTTCTCAAAGCATCTGGTTTTGTTTTGTATGGGGGAAAAAAATCATGGTTTGGAAACAACATTAGCATGAGTAATTAAACTAAAACTTTTCCTAAAATAAGCCATTCATACATTCATCAGCAGATTAAAGTTGCAACCTTTGGCTTTCCAAAATAGTACTGTTCTAATCTTAATCTTAAGTGTGTGAAATAACTAATTGAAAAGTAAAAACAAGAGTTGACTGACACAGTATCTGCAAGGCAATCTCTTACCATAAATAAATACCTAGGCCGTCAACGTGGGACGAGGCCAGGAAGTTCCCGGTAGGGGACATACTGAGACTGACGGCTGCTGCGTCTACCAGGAAACAGTCGACCAAACTATGAAAGACAGCAAGAGAATGTGGAAGGGTATGAAAGTGTGAAAGGAAATAATTCAATCACTCAATTGGGCCAGAGGGGACTTCATCTGCTAGAGGAATCCCCGTTAGAAAAACAAAAATATATCCGATGTACTAAATGTCACTACGGCCACATCTTTGAAAGATAATAATTATCTCTGAATTTGGTTTTACTGGTTACTTTGAAAACTATCGGCGACTGAGTAAACAGAAAAGGTCATCACAAATATCTAACCAGTAAATAATATAGAAAGTGGAAAAGGTGTCACTGGACTGGCCTGGTCTTTCCCTCCTTCAAAAGGCTACTTTTGTGGGTTGTAGTAGAACAATGATGCAATCTCACTTAGCACTCTAAGCATTACCTGTGACATACATGTTACAAGACACAAACAAAAAGAATTTAGGTTTATGCCTGGGTTCTACAGTTACTTCATTCTTTCAGGGCCATATTGTCCAAAAAAAAAGAAAAAAAAAAGAGGGAACTTTTACTAGAGCTTTGCACTGTAAGCAACAAGTTAACATGAAAAAACAACAACAACAGCTAAACACCCCTATTATTAAAATATTCAGAAGTATTCAATTGAAGATAACAAACAATAAAATCCTTAAAAATATATATTTAAACTAAATACATTTACATTAACAGCATTGTATAATTTGCAAGTCACAGCATGTTTCAAATGATAAAATAACAGATATATATTCTTGAAAATACTGTATACAATATTTATTAATGCTTAAAGGGATAAGTACTCACCCTCATGTCGTTCCAAACCTGTAAGACCTTTGTTCATCTTCGGAACAGAGCTCTCGGACCCTTCCATAGACAGCAAGGTTACTACCACGATCAAGGTCCAGAAACGTAGCAAGGACATCAGTAAAATAGTCCATGTGACATCAGCGGTTCAACCGTAAATTCACAAAGCTACAATAACACTTTTTGTGCACAAAGAAAACAAAAATTACGACTTTTTTTTTTTCAAGAATTCTCTTCTGCTCACCGAGGCTGCATTTATTTGATCCCAAGTACAGCAAAAACAGTAAAATGTTGAAATATTTTTACTATTTAAAATTGCTTTCTATTTGAATAGATTTTAAAATGCAATTTATTCCTGTGATCATACATAGGTAAATTTTCAGCATCATTACTCCAGTCTTCAGTGTCACATGATCCTTCAGAAATCATTCTAATATGCTGATTATCAATATTTAAAACAGTTGAGTAAATTTTTTTTCAGGATTGTTTGATGAATAGAAAGATCCAAAGATCAGCATTTATCTGAAATAAAAAGCTTTTGTAACATTATACACTATTCCATTCAGTATAATTTTTATTATTTTTTGGGGAAAGAAATTATAGAAATTAATACTTTTATTTAGCAAGGATGCTTAAAATTGATCAAAAGTGATGAT